CCCCCCCACAACCCCGCAAAAAAAAAAAAAAAACCTCTAAAAATTGTATTATACTGTATAAGAGACACAGAACACACCTTGCCTACTTTGTTAACTACATTCTAGGGTAAACCTGATTCAGTCCAGGACTAAAGATTTGGACCCAGCAGGAAACTTCAGGATTTCTCTAGTTGGAAAATAAAATCTTATTAAACACTCCCAAAACACTGTTTTCTGGAAAAAAAGGAAAAAAAAAGAAGAAGAAGAAAGCTAGAAAGAAAAATTTTAATGAATATATCATTTTTTTTTAAATGTCGGTGAATTCTACCCTCCTTTTTCAGACACCATACTCTGTTAAAGTAATCAGATGTGATCAGCTGGCAAGTCTCAACCGGAGCAGGCTCTAACTGGGACCTGCTTTTCCTGGACCCAGGTAAATGAGATCTGTGACCTCTGAAGCCAGGCTGCTTGGGTTTAACTCTAAACTCTAAAGAGAAAAACAAACGAATAGCAAAGTCTTAATGGAAGCCCTAGAGACTCCACATACTACAGCACCATCAATAATATTCTCAGGAACATTATTTGTGTATTAAGATTATAATTAAGCAAATTAGGGAAGGAACAAATATAATGATGAATGGAAATAATTATTATCTAAGGTGAAAAATAAGAATAGATTGTAATTAAAATTCCAGCTGGTTCAATATTTTTTTTAAAAAAAAAAAAAGCCTGTATATTCCATGACATTCTTGCCAAGAATTCTAAACAAGCTGCTTAAACTCCCTAAGCTTAAGACCTTCATCTGTAAAATTAGGTACTATCTAGCACCTATTACATTTATAAAGATTAAATAAATTAACATGCCTTCCGAAGCATGCCAGGTAGAGAGTATTCCAAAAGCTATAGGTATTACAATTAGTCTACTACATGGAACATGGGCACCTATGATATTATTCTTTCTACTTTTAAGTGTGTTTGAGAATTTCCATAACAATATTTCTTTTTAATTTCAAACTTAATTACAGCAAATTGGAGACTCAGAAAATTCACTCCCTTTCGAAGGCCGCTTTTGTGCCTGCTGCTAATTTTAACAGCCCAGCAAAATATGAGCGTCTCTACGGAGAGCCAACCATAGCCCATTCTCCTACCACTTGCCTTAAATCAATGAATGTAGGGCCAGCAGGTGGTTTAGTAGTTAAGGCACTAAATTCTCACATGGCCAAACTGCGGTTTGAGTCCCAGACCTCCTGGTAGCTTGCCTTCTCACTTTTCCACTCTTTCTCTGGTGAAAGTGCATACCCTATAGCAAATTAAAAAAAAAAAAAGACACACAGAAGAATAAAAAAAATTTAATTTAAAAAAAATCAACTAATTTAATACCCTTATTTCAAGTACAAGGAAACAAGAAGTCAGGACAGTTAAATACAATTTCCAAATAGTGAGGCTCATATTTGAACTCATCTTCTGATTAAAACCAATCCTTGGGCCCGCCAGAGGCAGGGTGGTGAAGATGGCTGGCTCTCACATGGCTGCCTGCATGGTTTAAGTCCCAGAAATAAAAATAAAGATACCATCATCATTGATGTGATCCTGCAAGATGACAGTGTGCTGTGCAGAGAGCATCGCAGTTAAATAAGGTCAAGGTTTCAGATAATGGTATCGAATTCCTATAGTCAGATACAGGTAGGCTTTGAGACAAGGAAACAGCAGAGCAATCCTAGCTCTTCTGACCTTTGCAATCCAAACTGCCGGCCTTCGGGCACTAGGAGCCAAAATCAGCCATGGCACATTAGCAAGGAGTGTGGGAGAGAAGGAGTCTGACAAGAGGATC